TGTTGTCTCACACTGACCGCTAGATACACTGGCTTCTGGATCTCCAATGGGGTGCAGGTCAGCTACTGTCTGAGGCCACCCAGCAGGAGCTACAGGGAGAACTACAGTTTTCTTCTTTTTGCTTGACGTTTGGAGGTTTTGGAGCTGCCTGACCAGAGCTGCAGTTTGTTTGGTTAAGCTGTTATAGGGCAGGTCATTTATATGCAAAAGCAAAGCTTGGGTGGGTTTGTAGATTGTGTGGGGCGGGGTCTCAAGGCATCACTAGGCTAGGGCGTGGCAAACAGTGATGGCTGCCAGTCAGCCATCTCTGCATCTCTGTGTTTCCAAGTCTCCACATCCCGCACCCCAGCATGGTAAACAATGATTGCTGGGCGCACCTCTGCAAGAAAGCCGCCCTCACTTTCTGACCCGATGGCAGACAGTCCAGCTTCTCTCTGTGGGAGTTCGGGTCCCCAATGTCTCCCCAGAAACTGGAGTTTAGAGTAATTGGGAGCTTGTCTCCCTTCGGGTTGAAAGAAGCAGCGCACCCATACATCTGTCGCCAGCTCAATTCGCTCGCCTCCATACTTCAGCTTTTCAGCGCTTGTGCACATCTCAATGATTTTTCCTCTTTCCTTCTAGTTGTAGAACTTCCACTCAGCCAGCTTCCCCATGGTTCTGGGAGATAGACATTTTGTCTTTTAGTTATAGTTTTGAAATTGTGCGAGGCAGCGGTTTAGGTATTTACCTATGCTGCCATCTTGGTTTCTCCCCAAAATATGTTTATTTTTTTATTTTTATTTTTTTTAAAGAATGCAATGGCTCTAGCTGGCTTTGCTCAGTGGATAAAGTGTTGGCTTGCAGACTGAAGGGTCCCAGGTTCGATTCCAGCCAGGGGCACATGCCCAGGTTGTGGGCTCGATCCACAGTGTGGGGCATGCAGAGGGCAGCTGATTAACGATTCTCTGTAATCACTGATGTTTCCATCTCTCTATTCCTCTCTCTCTCTCTGAAATCAATAAAGAAATATAGCCGAGGAGGATCCAAGATGGCTGTGCCCAGGTGAACACCTAGCCGCAGCCGCACACAACAATTTCAATAAAATACAACTAAAATATAAAACGGACATTGCCCAGAATTATAGGAAGGTTGACTGACTGGAAATTCTACAGTGAGAAGCAAGGAGAAAACCAGAAGGAGGTGCGGAGGAGCTGGAAAAGCCCAAGGTACGGAGACGCGGCGCGCGGAGAGGACGGAGCCGGAGAGAAGGGAGGCCGAGTGCCTGGCGGGCGTTCCCTAGCGGAAAGGAGATAAAACTCCGACTGTGCTGGGCCCCCGACTGCTCTGAACCCCAGTTTTAGGCCAGACCCCGGGGACTCAGGCTCAGCCATAGGGAGCCGGGCTGTAAGGCGGAACCCTGGGGAAGCGGCGAAAGGAGGTCCCGGCGGTGCGCACACTGCGCACAGAGAAGGGACGGTTGGCTGTGCGCGGGATTGCCCTGACGGGAAGGAGACTGGGGCTCCAGACTGCTCTGAACGCCACCTCCAACTCCACTTCCAACGGAACTGAACCCCAATATCGGGCTCATTGGGGGAGAGCATAGACTGTTTGGCAGCAGGCGAAAATTGAGGGCACCTTTCTCTCAGAGGCGCCGGCAGCGAGCACTGAAGGACCCGCATAGGACGGGGCTGACAGAAGCCAAAGCTGCAGGCTCCACCCTGAAACCCCGTCCCATCTGTAACTGCGAAATGCGACAACAAAATAGATCACAAATGAAAGAAATGGAGGACAAAAAGCGTCTGGATATAGAGTTCAAATCTACACTTATAAGGTTTTTCAAGAATTTCCTAGAAAAGATGATAAGGCCTATGAGGATATGAAAAGAGATCAACTAGAATTAATAAGGAGTCATCGAGAAATGATAAGGGATCAACAAGAAATAAAGAATACATTGTCTGAAATAAAAAATATTTTACAGAGTCCTAAAAACAGAAGGGAAGATCACAAGAATCAAGTCAAAGATTTGGAACATAAAGAGCCAGAAGACACTCCTCCACAGAAGCTAGAAGGCAAGAGAATACAGAAAATTGAAGATAATGTAAGAAACCTCTGGGACAACTTCAAGCGAACCAACATCAGAATTATTGGGGTCCCAGAAGATGAGAGAGAGCAAGATATCGAAAACATACTGAAAGAAATAGTGACAGCCGAGACCGGTTTGGCTCAATGGATAGAGCGTCGGCTTGGGGACTGATGGGTCCCGGGTTCGATTCCGGTCAAGGGCATGTACCTTGGTTGCGGGCATATCCCCAGCAGGGGGTGTGCAGGAGGCAGCTGATCGATGACTCTCTCTCATCGATGTTTCTAACTCTCTATCTCTCTCCCTTCCTATCTGTACAAAATCAATAAAATATATTTTTAAAAAAAAAAAAAGAAATAGTGACAGAAAACTTCCCCCACCTGGTGAAAGAATTAGACTTACAAGTCCAGGAAGCGCATAGAACCCCAAACAAAAGGAATCCAAAGAGGACCACACTGAGACACATCATTATTAAAATTCCAAGAGCAAAAGACAAAGAGAGAATATTAAAAGAAGCAAGAGCAAAGAAGCACCTATACGATTGTCAGCTGACTTCTCAACAGAAACCATGCAGGCCAGAAGGGAATGGCAAGAAATATTCAAGGTGATGAATAACAAGAACCTACAGCCAAAAATAATCTACCCAGCAAAGCTATCACTCAGAATCGAAGGCCAGATAAAGAGCTTCACTAATAAAAAAAAGCTAAAGGAGTTCATCACCGCCAAACCAGAATTATATGAATTGCTGAAGGGGGTTCTTTCAGAAGAGAAAGTAAACAAAGATAAAAATTATGAACAACAAATACGTAACTATCAACAAGTGAATCTAAAAACCAAGGAAATTAAAAAAATCTGATGAACAATATTAACTATTGAATATAATAGAATCAGAGGTATGGAAGGGGAGTGAACTGACGATTCTTGGGGAAAAGGGGAGAGAGGGGCGTGGGAAGAGACTGAACATAAACTGTGCACCTATGGATGAGGACAATGGGGAGAGGGGAAAGGGCAGAGGGTGAGGTGGGAACCTGGTGGAGGAGAGCAATGGTGGTGGTGGTGGGGAAAGGAACATTTGTAACAATATGAACAATAAAAACTTATAAAAAAAAATAAAAAAAGAAATATAGCCGAAACCAGTTTGGTTCAGTGGATAGAGCATCTGCCCGTGGCCTGAAAGGTCCCTGGTTCAATTCCGGTCAAGGGCATGTACCTTGATTGCGGGCACATCCCCAGTAGGGAGTGTGCAAGAGGCAGCTGATCGATGATTCTCTCTCATTGATGTTTCTGACTATCCCTCTCTCTTCCTCTCTGTAAAAAATCAATAAAAATATATTAGAAAAAATAAATACACACACACACACACACACATATATAATGGAATGCATTCCTAAGAAAGAAGGGGTGAACGTCATGAAGTCTGGCATTTGCTTTAAGATACTTAGCAAAGGAAAGGAACAGAAAGGGATCAGAAGCAGCAATGTGGCAATACCCTGGTAACTGTTGAAATGAGATGTTTGGTACATGGGGCTCATTAAGCTTTACATTTTTAAAAAAAATCCTTGCCTGAGAATATTTTCCATTGATTTTAGAGAGGGAAAGACAGAAACATCAGTGTGAGAGAAACACAGATTGGTTGCCTCCTGCATGTGCCTGAACATGGGCATGTGCCCTTGTCTGGAACCAAACTCAGAACCCTTCAGTCCTCAGGCCGATGCTCTATCCACTGAGCCAAACCGGTTTAAACAAGCTATTTACTTTTGAGTTTTTGACAATGTGTTCTAATAAAAAAATTGAAGTATTACATTATTGATCACAAATTCTGGATAAAATGTAACAAAATGATACCATGTCTTCACTCAGTGCTATTATCCCACCTCTTCTGTAAGGCAGGACAAATTTCCCTGACATCTGCTAGCGAAGCACTTGAAACAAACTTTATTTTTAAAATATATTTTTATTGATTTCAGAGAGGGAGAGTGGTAGAAACATCAATGATGAGAATCATTGGTCAGCTGCCTCCTGCACTCCCCTTACTGAGGTCGAGCCTGCAACCCCACCATGTGTCCTGACCGGGAGTGGAACTGTGACCTCCTGGTTCATAGGTCAGTGTGGCTCCGTAGCCACACTGGTCGGGAAAACTTTTAACTGCAGGTGAATGTGGCCCTCATCCCTTTATGTGAGACATTCTTTTTTTTAAGTTAATTTGAGAGGAAAGGAGAGAGAGAAACATAGATATGAGACAAACATGGATAGTTGCCTCCTGCATGCACCCGGACCGGGAACTGAACCCTCAACCTGGGTATGTTCCCTGACCAGGAATCAAACCCACCACCACCCTTCGGTGTCCGGGCCAACCGACCGAGCCACACCGGCCCGGGAGCTGGAGACGTTCCTTCCACGTGTCCAGGCGTGTCCTTTCTTTCCATCGGGGGAAAGCATGGCTTCCCACCACCGCAGCCACCGGGGAGGGAAGATGGCGTTTCTCCCAGGTCCGTGTTCCGCCCGGCTGGCCCGGCAGGCCTGCCCTCCGCACGGGGCCCGCTCCCCGCCTCCCGGAGGGCCGGCCCACTCACCGTGAAAACACCACACTCAGCAGGTTCGAGGGCTCACGGGCCCTCCGACTGCGCGTTGCCCGGAGGCGGATGTGCTCTCGGTGAGAGGACGAGCAAGGGGAAGGAGAGCGGATTTGCCCAAGTCCCAAGTTCTCAGGCAGCACCCAGCGGCCTGCAGAGCCCATCCCAGCCACGGTGTCCACGAGGCACAGACATGCAGAGGGCACGGCCATCAGACTCACACACCCGTTCTCCTCCGCTCAGACAGCGCACCAAACACTGAGGCACAAGTAGTCAGGTGGGTGCTGCGTCCCGTCCCTCCCCTGAAAGCAAGCATCCCCCCGCCAGGCGCTTAGGGCCGTCCCAGAGGAAGCGCAGCCTTCCTCACGTCCCTGAGTTCACGTTTATTCAGCCCACAGGCCCCGGCGGGAGCCAGGACCCCGGGGCAGGAGGCAGGCCAGCCCGGCGCCAGGGAGAGGAAGCACTTCCAGGTGGGGCAGCACTTCCTGTGCGAGACGCCTACCGGAGGATTCCCTGCCAAAGAAAACTTGATTTTGCAAAAGGCTAGTCTAAAGGAAGGTGGGGCCGTCTTTCGGGCGCCGGGCCGCGGGGCCGCGCCTTCGGGCCGGGCGCAGGCTCAGAGCGTCCCGTACACGCTGACCTTGGCCAGGGAGATGCTCTCGGTGCAGGAGCTGCGGCCTTTCTCGTACAGGACGAAGAGCTGGGGGGCCAGGCCCGGCCCGCCCACGCCGCCCTCCAGCGCGGCCAGCGACGAGTAGCCGCTGGGCCCCGGCCAGAGCTGCACGGTCTCTCTCCTCCAGGAGCTGCCGTTGCTGAAGCTCCAGCGCAGGGTCAGGTTCACGCCTGGGGAGGGCGGAGGGTCAGGGGGCGGCCTCGGCCCGCCTCCTCCAGACAACGCCCCGCCCGCCGCGGGCACTCACGTTGCTCCGGGTGGGCCGGGTTGGAGAAGAAGACAATGCCGGAGCTGGTGGCTACAGCTCCTGCGGCAACCACGGGGTCCACCAGCTCGGGGTCGAAGGTCACGTCGCGGGGCCTCAGCGTGTCACAGGCGTCGTAGCTGCGGAGGATGATTCGGCAGCGGCAGTGGTAGTTGTTCTGGTTCCGGGCGTTGATGACCACGGAGCCGTCCGGGAGCTCGTAGGGCTGAGGAGAGGGCAGGCTCAGGAAGACCAGGGCGGCTGCGGGGCCCTGCGCCCGCTGCGCCGGGGAGGGGCTGCCGGACTCCTGACCTGGCACTCATCGGGGTTGAAGTCGTTTTCCCGCTTGGGCTGGCCGTAGGGGATGCCGCGGAGCCCGCTGCCGTAGCGCCAGGAGGCGCCGTGGTCGTCGCTGAGGAGGCAGAAGACCCCGTCCCGCTCCAGCGTCCCGTGGCCACACACGATGAGCCGACCCTTCCGTGGCTCTCGCTGCTTCTGTGGGGAAGAGGGAGGCCGAGGGGCTCAGAGGCGGGACCGCCCGGTCCTAAGTGTGGGGTCACATGTGTCCCCTTCAGTTCTGTCCTTGCGCGCTGGGGGTCCCCCAACGGATCTCCAGCAGCCACCGCTGAATCACGCTCTTTTGCAGAATAAGCTCCTTTGGAACATCAGGGCCGGGGCGGGCACTGGGGGCTGTGGCTGCTCTTCCCATGCCTGTCGCTCGCCACGCTGCGCAAGGCAGACGTGTCCGGCGGCAGCTGGGCCCGGCTGTCTAATGCAGCCTGGTGACGACCACGGTGGCAAGTTCCATCTCCCCGCTCCTCCCAGGATGCCCGTTTCTTCCAAGGGGCCCCACCCAAGACAGAAACCGACTTCGCAGGAACGCCTCCCGGGAAGGAGGTCAGCTGGGGCACCTCCCAGGCTGTCCACCAGGCCCCCCCTACCCGCCCGGACGGAGACCTGAATGCCGGAGCCCGGCCCGGGGGCGAACATCTCGGTGCCGATGTCCAGCGAGAGGTTCCGGGGCGGGCTCCAGGAGACCCCGTCGTCCTTGCTCCACACCAACATGGTGGAGGCCACCTGGCAGCCGGCCTTGTGAGCGCAGAGGGAGTAGAAAAGGAACACCACTCCCGTCTCCACGTCGCTCACCACGGCCCCCAGGTTCAGCCCGTCAGGGGTCTCCCCATCGTCCACGATGAACGCTGTAGGAGACCACGTGCTGCCTGAGGGAGAAAGGAACAAACGAGCACACGGGATGTTGGAGACCGGGCGGGAGCTGACAGAGTGCTTGCACCCGAGGGGACGGATAAGACAGCCTCCTGCCCACACAGGGTCCCCGGACTTGTTCTGATGGCGCTTCATCTCCAAGATTGGGAGGAACGGAGAGTCCATTCCTCCTGACAGACCTCCCGGTCAGTGTTTGTGTAAAAGGCATTACGCAGTTAATAAAGCTGCTGCAGTCGGTCGATGGCTTGCAGTCCTCCCGATCCCACTTTCCTGTCTTCCTTTTTTTCTCAATTCCCACCTCCCCACCTCAGTCCGGTTCACCTGTCAGGCTGGCCCTAGCAACGGAACTGAAAAGCTTCTGCGCAGCAAAAGAAACCGTTCTCAAGATGCAAAGGGAGCCCGCTGTGCGGAGGACATATTCCCTGACGAGACAGCGGGTAAGGGCTGGTTTCCAAAATGAGACCTATAACAAGTGCTCACAGTCACTGACCATCGAGAGACGTCAATCAAAACGACAATGCGGTACACCTCACACCTGTCAGAATGGCTACCGTCAACAAATCAACAAGCGACAAGTGCTGGCGAGGATTTGGAGAAAAAGGAACACCCATGCACTGCTGGTGGGAGTGCAGACTGGTACAGCCACTGTGGAGAACAGTATGGAGTTTCCTAAAAAAATTAAATATGGAACTGCCATTTCACCCAATGACCCCACTTCTAGGAATATATCCTAAGAAACCCAAAACACCACTCAGAAAGAATGTATGCCCCCTGTGTTCATAGTAGCACAATTCACAATAGCTAAGATCTGGGAACAGCCCAAGTGGGCATCAGCAGATGAGTGGATAAAAAGCTGTGGGACATTTACACCAGGAACACTCTGCAGCAGCGAGACAGCATGGAGGGACCTGGAGAGTCTCATGCTGAGGGAAAGAAGTCACTCAGAGAAAGACCAGTATCACATGACCTCACTCATGTGTGGAATCTACGTAACAAAATAAACTGATGAACAAAATGGGCTCGGAGGGACGGGGAGAAGGTGGAGCAGAGGGATGGATCTCAGAGGGGTGGAGTCGGGGTGCGGGCAGAGAATAATGAAAGAACTTATATGCCTGTATGCAAAATCCATGGGTAGACAATAGTGTGGTGAAGACCTGGGGGGGAGGGCTAGGTGGAGAGGGGCAATGGGGGGAAGCGGGGGACACCTGTAATCCCCTCGACAATACATATTTAACCATTAAGAAAATAAAGCGAGCTGAAACCCAGGGAGCGCCCCCCCCCCCCACCAGGAGCCCTTCCCACCAGACCCTGTAACCGGCCGCTCCTGCTACCCACCCGACCCCAGGCCTCAAAGGGCCAGGCCCTCAGACCCGTGCTTGCTGACCTCTTGGACCTGATTGCTCTAGCTGGCTCACTCCATGCAGCCACAGCCCTCCCTCCCTCAGACACTCCACCTCAGCCTTCCTCCGGCTCACCTCCGCACTGCTCCCCCGCACTGCTCCGGTTTGTCTGGCCACTGCCTTTAGCCTGCTCCTGTCTCCCCAGGAGAATATAAGCCTGCCAGGCTGGGCTTTGCTGGTTTGTTCATAGCCGTACTCACAGACCCCACCACGATGCACAGTCAGTGCTGGGAAATGTTTGGAGGAATGCTCACCTCCGTGGCGATCCAATTTTCAGATCAGTGTCCCGGGCACCTTCTCTCCGCAGTGCCCTCTCCCAGGTCCGTGTCCCAGGGCCTCCAAGCTCCGGGGCCTCAGGGCCCCGGGCAGGTCGGACCGGACCGCCCCCCTCCCGCCCTCACCCCGCCGGCTCTGACCCGGGAGGAGCTTACCCTGGTCTGTGGACCTCCGCAGAGCGATGAACTTGGCCCCCTCGTCCGACGTGGACATCTTCCTGGCCTCGGCAAAGGCGAGGAGCGTGCCCCGCGGGGTGGCCGCGATGAGCGGGATGCGGAAGGTGTCCACAGCCGCCATCCGCCGCCCGCTCACCCACAGCAGCTGCTCCATGGTCACCAGCGGCTGCACCTGCCGAGGGAGGAGCCCACGCGGACACACGTGACCGGGTTGGGACGGACGGGGCGGCTAGAGCCGGCTCCCCTGGGAGAGGCAGGTGTGGGGTCTCGTGGGCGCGGGCCCAGAACAAGGACGGGGAACCGCGGGAGAGGCTGGAGGGCAGCGGGGTCTGAGCGGGGAGGGCCCCTCCGCCCGCCCCCGGAGAAGAGGGGCCTCAAAAGCGGAAGGAGCGCGAATGTGGAGGGCCGGGCCTGGAGGCGGAGGGGCTGTGAGCGGATGGAGGGCGGGGCGGGCGTCCCGCGGACAGGGGCTCAGCAGCCCGCGCGGGCGCCGCCGGGCGCGGGCCGCTTACGGGGTCGGGGTCGGGGTCGGGGTCGGGTGGGGGCGGGCGGGCGAGGGCTGCTCACCAGCCTGAAGTCGTTCTCGTCCCACGCCGCGGCCACTGCCGCGGACAACAGCAGCGGGAAGATCGCGGCAAATACCTGAACCCCACAGACTCCCCAGAGCCCCGGCCTCCGCGGCCTCTCGGGGCCGCCCCGGAGCACCGAGCCGGGCCGCTGGGCTGTCATTTCTCCCCGCGGCGGGCGCGCGCCTGGCCCCCAGGATAAACCCGGGCTGGAGTCAGTCAGCTGACCAGGCCCTTTAAGCACTCAGGTGTCACCTCCCGCCCCGCCCCTCGCCCGCCGCTTCTGCGACTCTCATTGGCCCCAAACGCTCGGACTCTTCACGTGACCCCTCAGCGCCTCGGAGCTGGCCCTCCTATTGGCCCCCTTTGAGGCGCCGCAGCTCGTGACCCGGCGGAATGAGGAAGAGCCGGGATGACTCCTCAGAGCCTCTGATTGGTCGCAGCAGCTGGGGGCGGGGCCGGCTTTAAAGTGCGGGCGGGGAGCAAAGGGTCTCATTGTCAAGGACGGAGGAAGAGCAGTGCCGGGCTTTTTGCGAAAACAAAATATGTGTCAACCTTTAATGGCGTCTTTTTACAAAACCAAGGCCTGAGCGGAGGGGAGGGGGCGGCTGCGCGCGCGGCGGCGCCGGCTCAGGGCTTCTTCCTCTTGGCCCCCGGGGGCGCGTCGTTCTTCTTGCCGAGAATCTGCAGGAGCGCCTTGGACATGAAGTAGGGCCGGGCCGCCGAGCCGTCGTTCCGCTCCAGGTCTTCCACTGCGCGCAAGCGGGCGTCAGCGCGGGCGGCCCCCGCTGCCCTCGGCGCGGCGGCTCCGTCCCCTCATGTGTCCAGAGGGACCGTGAAGCACGTCCCACCCGCGGTCCGGTTCGCGGACCGCACGCCCCCTGCGCGGCGCGTGAGAGGTGCCCACAGCCGGAGGGGGGCCCGCTCCCACAGCCCCGCGGGCCCGCACTTCCCCGGGGTTTCCCCGGGCCAATCTCCGGGGAGTGGCCCCAGCTGGGCGCTCACTGCCCCTTCTCCCCAGCTGCACCCGGAGGGGGCAGGGAGGGCGCCACTCACGGAAGCAGAGGAAGAGCGTGTCCACGCACATGCCGAAGACGCTGAAGAAGCCGCTGGCGATGACGTAGGCCCCCACGACGGAGATCTGCAGGACACAGCCGTTAGGGTCTGTTTGGGAGCTAGGGGCGCGGCGGAGAGGGGGTCACTCACCAGGATGGGCAGCCAGTAATAGTTGAGGGGGGCGCTCTCAAAGTCCTTGCCCAGCCCCACGAGGCGACCAGTGAAGAAAAAGAAGGACAGGACCCCTGCCGGAGGTCCGCGTCAGCGTCACCCTGGGAGCCAGCTCTCCGCTTCCCCCCACCCCTGCCGGGTCCGGCAGCCCGGCCTGGTCCTTACCGACACCTCCCACCACCAGCAGCTTCCCGAAGAGCAGCAGCAGGTCTGTGACCTTGTCCAGGACCACCACCCTGCACGGGGAGAGGCCCGGGCTGGACGCAGCTGCCTCCATCACTTGCCGTGACAGAGGCAAAAGGACTCGGTTCCCATCCAGGGTGGAGGCCCTCTGAGCACAGCGCCCCCCGCAGGCGGCGGGAGACCACGGTGGGGCAGCCTGACCTGACAATGTTCCGCATGAGCAGCATGAAGGCGTCTCTGGCTGAGACACAGAAGTTCTTCCCGTAGATGGCGATCTGGGGGAGAGGGGAAGGTCAGGGTCACCGGTGAGCGCTCACCTGGCCCGGGGCTGGCCCTGGAGCACCGGCTGCGCCTGCAATGGGCTCACCATGATGTATGCGTTGCGGTTCAGGAACTTGATAAACTTTTCCAGACACCAGAGGCAGCACTTGAAGCAGCACATGATGCAGCGGGCCACCGGGTTCTGGGCGACTGGGGGCCAGGGACTTGGGTTTCAGAACTCGGGACACAGGCCCGGAGCCTCTCCCCAAGGACTCAGCTGCTCAGCTGGCCGCCCCCAGCCCGACCTCGGCTCACCTCTCAGCTTGTGGTCGATGTACTCCAGGATGACCCGCACCATCTGCACGAGGGTCAGGATGAGGGCCCCGAAGGCCAGCGACCCGGTGTGGTAACTGCCCAGGGATTAGGCGGTCAGAGGCGCCCGGGACCCCTGGGCTCCCAGCCCCTCCCCTGCCCTCGCAGGCTTACCGCAGCGTGCGGAGGAAGGCAGCGCTCAGGGGGAAGGTGGGGATGTCCCGGGGCTTGTGGAAGGCCCAGTAGAAGGAGGCAAAGGCCCCGGCCAGGACACACTGGCCCAGAGCCAGGACCCAGTTGAGGGTCCAGAATAGCCCCAGGACCCCGTAGATTTGCAGGTTGAAGAGAGAACGCTGCACCGGGCCTGTGGACAAGTAGCCCTGGAAGGCGCACACCAGCCCTGGGCACGAGGAGTTGGCGGGCGGAGCCTGGGGAGCACAGACAGCCGTTCCCAGCCAGCGCCCGCCACTCCCAGAGTGAAAGAAGCCAAGCACCCCCCCCCCCCCCCCCCCCCCCCCCCCCCCCCCGGCCTCCGTCTGCCAGGTTCCAGCGGGCTGGTCTCCCCTATTGTGTGAGCATCAGTCTTCCCGCCTCTGGGCGAGCACAGGAGCTGCCCGCCGGTGGTGTGGGCCAGGCTGGTGGTGTGTGGGGAGCCGCGGGGCCAGGGCATGCTCCGGAGGGCCTGGCCTCCATCAGCTGTCCCCTCCACAGCAGCCTCTGCGACTCCAACCACCATACTTTCCAGCAAAATTGAGACTGGGTGTCTGATGACATTAAGGAGTTCCTGTTAATTTTGTTGGGTTTGATAATGGTTATAGTGGCTATGCTTTTTTAAAGTCTTATCTGTTGCCCTAGCTGGTTTGGCTCAATGGATTCCCAGTCAGGGCACATGCCCAGGTTACAGGCTCCATCCTCAGTAGGGGGTGTGCAGGAGGCAGCCGATCAATGATTCTCATCATCACTAATGTTTCTCACCCCCCCCCCCCCCCCGGTCCCTTCCTCCCTGAAATCAATAAAAAATATATTTTTAAAAAGTCCTTATCTGTTGAGATCTATCGATATGTTTACAAGTGAAATGGTATGATGTCCAAAATTTCCCTTAAACTCTAGAAAAAATTTTGCTCTTAGGGATGGGGTGAGATGGATGAAACGAGAAAGTCAAAGGTGTGGAATCTGGGTATGCGAAATCTCTACTCAGGGTGTGTGTGAAAATTTCCATCATAACAAGTGAAAAGCATAGAAATAAAAACAACCTTCCCAGCCACTGTGACAACCTTGATAATTGCTGGGACTGGGTGCATGGTTGGCATTTTATAGTAAGAAAATGCACTTTTGCCGAAACTGGTTTGGCTCAGTGCATAGAGCCTGCGGACTGAAAGGTCTCGGGTTCGATTCTGGTCAAGGGCATGTACCTTGGTTGCGGGCACATCCCCAGTAGGGAGTGTGCAAGAGGCAGCTGGTTGATGATTCTCTCTCATCGACGTTTCTAGCTCTCTATCCCTCTCTCTTCCTCTCTGTGAAAAATCAATAAAATATATATTTTTAAAAATCAATAAAATAGATTTAAAAAAAAGAAAAAGAAGAAAAAAAGAAAACGCGCTTTCCACCCGTGTGTGCCTGCTGTCAGCCTCCACGCCTGGGCTCTGCACACTCGGTGCTCGCACCCAGGTCCTTCGCCCACGGAAGCCGGCCTCCCCGTCCTTTGGAGCGGGGGCCAGTGCCGTGGGCAGAGCCCGGCCCGCTCCGGGCAGTGGCCACAGGGAATGCCCAGAGGTCCAGGCCGCCCCCTGGCACCTCCGGGGAGCCTGGCACTTCTCTCCCAGACCCGCAGGGCGGCAGGGCCTGGGCCCTCGGGCAGTGTGTTCCCAGGAGGAAGATAACAAAACTAAACAAAGCCCAGAGCTATCAGCAGTCGGTGCCGGGCCTGTGCTAAGCACTCCATGTGCCGGAGTCACAGCTGGTCTGGCTCGCCCTGTGGGCCGGTGCTATAAGCTCCACTCTACGGAGGGGACCGGCTGGGTTCGTGGTGGGCAGAGGAGAGTCCCAGGGAGGGCAGGGCCCTGGCACCCAGCTGCCAAGGCCTGGCAGCCGCCGGCACAGCGCTCTGGGCCTCCGAGGTCCTCCCTGCTCGGGCAGGACTGGATCTGGAGTCCGCGGACTGGCTCCCTTTCAGGCTCTGCCGGGGCCTGTTGTGTGACCTTGAGTGGCCACTGCGCCCGGAGGCATTTGTCCCTAAGCTGCCCGCAGCCCTATGGGTGCCCGCCACGCTCACCCCGGCCTCACCATGGGGTCGCACGATGCGTTCAGTGGCGCTGCCTCACAGCCGGGGAGGCTGGCGTTGGGCGCCCAGAAGACGTACTGAGGCTGTCCCGAGGTGGCCAGGCACCCAGGGGGCCGTCAAGGAAAGCATGGCCACACCGGTCGCTGCGGCCCCCCAGGGCTGTGCCCATGCTCCCACCAGGCCGGACCTCTGCTGGGCTCGTCCTTCCACCCTGTCCCCGGGCCGCGCTGCGCCTGCCCCGAGGCACGGGCGCCTTCTCAGCACTAAGGTACTGAGTGGGCAAGTCCTGCCCTCTCTGTCCTCCGCCCCCTCGTACGCCAGGAGGGCAAAGGATACAGAGCAGTCATGGCCCAGTAGGCGATGCAGACGAGCAGGAGGACAAAGGTGACCAGCGGGTAGAACACAGTGGACATCATCTGTCCCACAGCCCTGCAGGGAAGTGAGCTCTGTCCACACAGGCCCGCCCGGCCCCACCTCTGCCCCTGGGCCTGCTCCTCCCGGGGCTGGGCGCTCCCATGAACGGAATTCAATGAACGAGGCTCAGGGCCCTGAGAGGAAGTGAGTCTCAGAGAAGCCCCCTGGGAGTCCTCAGAGTGGTGTGTTGACCAGCCTGCAGGTGGGGGTCTTCCCCAGCCAGCCCAGGTTCCCACCGTCCCACCCACCATCACCATGGCTACAGTGACTGCCAGCACTGCCCTTCTGGAGGGCCTGCTTCATGGGTGAGGCCTCAATGAGATACTCACTTCATCCTCAGGGCACCCTACCAGTAGGCACATCCCCAGTGCCTCTTCACAGATGGTAAATGGAGGCTCAGAAAGGCTGTCACAGCAGGATTAACACTGCACTGTTCTGCCTTCTGCAGAGCCCTGCACCCGCCCAGCCGCCCGCGACAGCCCTGCCCCCGCCCCTCTGGGTGGGCCCGGACCTGCTGGCCTCCTTCAGGAGGGCGATGGCGATGCGGATCCGCTGGCGCAGGAAGACG